GAATCATAATGCTAACAAACATTTTAAAAATCAAATGACACTTACGAAAATAATGAAGTTTGTGTCCATATTTCAAATAAATGTGACTAAAGAAAGGGGTTAAAATAAATAACGAAGTTTTCATGCTACCACACACACACAGACTTGAGGTCCAAAATTCGTATTGAAAATTATGATAAATATAGAATGTCCTGTTGAAATTGAAGGAGTCGGGCGTAAATGATGATAGCCTATGCTTCAAAATTGATTTTTTGGCTCCTGTAACCCGTTGTCCATGCAATGTAACACTCAATTCATTCAATTTAAGCTACGTAGGGCAACGTCCTGTTGCCATTCTTATGTAACACACTTAACTCCTACCAGCAAAATGTTCGCTCGCATATATCTAAAAAGTATTTGCATATGGATTATCGTGGTCTACACTCAATTCCTTTAATTATGAATTTCTGCACTTGCAAAAATATCAGCGTACCCCCACACTGCAGTACAGAAATCACATTTCAAAAGTGTCAGTACTTGCATATTCACAACAGTGAATATTGACTGAAAATGCAAATTAACAGAGATCGCTAATTAATACACGAGAGACATCAACGACGAATTTATTTATGTATTTGTTATAAATCTGTAATAAGCTATACAAAAGACTCCTATTCATCGATTATGATAATAGCATGTAAGACTAATTTAAGATTTCATATGCGAGTAAGAAAATCTGACTCCGGGCATCAACTGAAAACATGGGAATTCCCACGAATCTAAAATGTTTTACTATTAAGTGCCGAAGTACCTAAATTACGAACATATTTTTTGTTGCCGAACAATACTGTAAGTTTGAATAAATACATGAATAAAAGTCTATTAATCAGTTGGTCCTGATAATCAAAAGATAAGGTAGTAATTAGAGGACCCTTCCTCAGAAATTTTCTTAATTGTAAATCTGTGTAATAAATAAATTGTGTACAATAATCTGTGTAATAAATCTGTGTAAAATAGTTATATATTAGTACCTTACGCAATTGTTCAAACCTTGAACGGCTCGAGCAAGAACTACATAATAAAAATATTAAACAAATTAAATTAAAAAACAACTAGGAGAGTCTCACATTAGTTTATCTATGGCCAGAACATTCAAGATAGCGATAAACTGTACACGAAATATCTAAATATTTCTTAATACTAAAAAGGAACACATTTCCTTTTAATGAGACAATTCTCCAGGAATGTAAATAAATTGACGCATTTTGATCCTTCCAATTCTATACGCAACGAAATAAAATTCGGATTGAAATCGCTACAGAAAACAAAATTGAGTTTATGTTGCCAAGGAAAACGAAAAAAATGTTCATTTATATTCACAAACCGATCCTCAGATATAAGGTTTCAAATAACTTTTTAGCCGTTTCGAAAAAACTGATGTCTAAGTTTTATCTAACCACATGTTCAGACGTCTCTCCGCTTGCAGTAATTTTTCTAGAAGCTATTTGTTCACAAATTGCCGTACGAGTATGCTCTACTCGTACAAAAGTAAGATTGAACCTTATCTTATTAACACATTTCCTTCGATTTTGTCATCTGGAATCTTCTCAATCAGAAGACTCGATATGTATTATAAATTTCGCGTTCGATGACCTCTTTCATCTAATTAGCGAATGATGATAATTTGCACTTTTGCCAGCAGAACATTAACAGTTGTGAATATTATGCAGGTATTGTACTGACACTTCTCTGCATTAAGATTTTTGTACTGCATTGGGGGTACGATGATATTTATCTCGTGAAGATTTCATAATTGAAGAGTAAAGGAGTAAGGCACAGAGATTATTTGTTACAACACCCTGCTCTAGAAATAACCAACCCTTCTCTCGCATCTAGCGAAATGATGGCTCAAGAAAACGTGCGCGGGTAAGGTTTCAAAAGAACAAAACTTCACTTCAGAATTAAGCGTTAACAATGCAAGAACCGCCAAAAGAAATTTGCACTGGTTTGCAAAGACGAGGAAGGAAAGATTGCGCGCGATTCGCGGCGCTTTTCTGAGGGTTCTGCTCCGGCATTCGCCTGGCGTTGATCGGAGAAACCACAGAATTCGATCTAGTCATCGCCTCTAGCGTCGAAAATCCGGCACCGCCGGACCCCGAGGCCACGACCTCTTGGTTAGAGCCGCAATTAGCTTGCCGGCCCACTTTTCGAAAGGACGTGAATTTTTGTTTTACTATCTACACGAAACGAGGGGCTCTTGTAGGATATGGGTAAATTATCATTGCCAGTTGGCGGTCTCAGAATGACACCTCTATCACTCCTTAATTTTACAGAACTTTTATAAAGCTTGGGGGTTCTGCAAAATGCTATTTCGTTTTGTTCATTAAGGTATTCTAAGAACATAATTTGAAAACTGATTTAATATGATGTATAGATCTGCCAATGGAGATCATGTCAAAACATTTTCGCCAAACAGAACCTTCTCATTTTGAGACAGTTATTTGCTGCTTTGGAAAACACTCTGAATAGAAAAAGATCCACTTCCTGTCTTTCATAGAGTAATTTTAGATTTCACCCCAAATGTAAAGTATTAACACACAAATGCCTCAAATACAGAATTCGGGACGAGCGTCAGTGCTGTCCTCACTAAAAAGGATTCGGCATACTCAATAAAACTTCGAAGTTTAAAAGTTCCACATTCAAAACAAAAACATCGATGATAATATATCGTCCAAAAATAATCGATGAATTTAAACGTCAGTGTGGTTTATTTGCTCTAATATAAGTACAAGGTCGGTCGAGATAATTTGACGGTAGTCGTATTTATTAATTTAAAATTGATATCTGACAAAAAATCAAAAAAGTGTCAAAACAAGTAACAAAATTTATAAAATTGGGAAATACAAAAACAATAAACTACACTTATCGGCAAAAAGACTAAATTTTTAACCCTTTGTCACTATGATCTAGAATATATGAATATCTGCAAATTATGTATAATTTTTTTGTTATAGTACTTCATTTATTTCTAAAATAAAACAAAAAACAGCGACTGTATGAAAACAGCGATAAATGAATGAGGTTAAAAAACCTCAGCACCGATACATAATTTCTTTAATTAAAAAAAGCGATTGGTGTTGCATGTACTGTGTTAGCCCTACGCAGGGCGGCAACAAGTGGGGCGGGCGGTGCAGCCGCCGACGCCACGATGTTGCAATGCGCAAAAGTCCCTCGCCCCCGCCCCTCCCCCGCCTCGGCGAGCGCAACAGGTTGCAAACAATCCCCCACGCGCCCCTCTGCCCACGTGCACGCCGGCGCCGCCACCGCCTCCCCACCAACTCGGTCGCTCACTCACCCGTCTAGTCAGCTCTACGTAAAACACAGACTCTGCACACATGCCCCCCTGGAACCGCCGCCTACACGGCGACTCCTCGAGCTAGCTGGCTCGTTCGCTACTATCGAAGAGAAAAAAAAGTGAAGGGGCTGCGCCGCATTATCGGGCCGCGGGAGATAAAACCGTGTACACAATACCGACAGCTCCGGTACTTATTCTTGTCCACCTGAAGCCTTATCGCCCACCAATCGCGGTTTCCATCGTTGAGCGAAGACGTCAAAGCGTGTGACACCGATGCGTTGCTGCCCGACACGGCGTAGGTGGGTGCAAGCCCCGGATAGCTCCCCCCGCGCGATCTCAAGATCTCTCCGACGTAATATTCTCGATGCGTATTGCGTGAAAAGATGTCACGGAGGTCGCTACTTGACGTGAGTGGTACAACGGAAGTGTTGATCCTTCACGCAAAGGCCAGAAAGCACGAGACTTCAGTGACGTATGCAGTTCCTACATGCTCCTGATTACCTCACTTCAAGAAAAGAACAGCGGAGACGTACGTCTGGGTGTCACGAGAAGGAGGGTCTACAGAACTGACTCCGAACTAGGCCTCGAGACATCGTGTCTGTGTTTGAGAGGGATCAGTGGAACGCAAATCGGACACCGCACTATGGTACAAACAAATGAAACACAAGCTCGCTGGTCCTACAAATATAGGAAAGATCGTGACGCCCTCCACCAGAGCACACGCACAAACGCACTGTGGGAGTAACACATTTTTATGGCGGATCTTCTCTCATGGAACGTCATAGAGGTACAGAATCTCATGAGATGGTCAGGTAACAGCAATAGTCGTAATGAATGATTTTGTTACAGGCGACTGACATTTTGCACCTGTCACTGACAAATCAAGTTGGACCACACAAGTCATTGCGATGTAGGTTTGATAATTAGGTGCAACTTGAAGGAGTGAATAAAATAAACTTTCCCTAGAAATAATACATAATTCATGAAGGTTTATGCAGCGCGAACCTACTTTGAGACGTTCTTATCTCCATGATAACAGCAGCACCTTAAGATGAACGTTTTACTCACCTGACTGGCATTCCGGAGGAAGAATTATCCATGAAGGTATCCTCACGAAATCACCTTTACATCACAAACTTATCCACTGAAACACTTAGTTGTTAAGGAAGAAATTTTACACCAAACAACGAAAATTACACTTCACACGCTCGCGGAATGCACAGGTTTTGTGCGAGGCCCTTCTCACGATTGTTAACTAATACACGCATTAAGACCGTCATATAAATTCACGAAAAACACATTAACAGCGCAGAAAAGGCACATAATAAACACACACTACAAAGTAGTACTCCACACACAACCAACAAGTGTCAGCCATCTTGCGAACAGTTCTCACCCACAATAAAATTCCTCGACCCGCTTTCCGCCATTAAAAATAGTTCCCATTCAAATAAGGCAACATTTTGTTTTAACATGATTTACTTGACCTTTGTGGAAAATATTCTCATAGAATTGCGGAAGAGTCGAAAAAGTCAACTTATATTAATCAATGACATCATAGTTACAAACTATTAATTAGTTGACACTTCCAAGATACTCCGCCTAAGCAAGATCACGGCGCGAGTTAGCCTTGTGCTGTTGTGATATGAAGTATCGATACTCCCACCTCAGTAATAATTCGATACTTTTGGCGAAATATTTGATCAGGCTTTTCCTTTTTCCTCGCCTGTTTGAAGTCTACTTTTATTGCTAAAGGGCAAATTAAATTACAATGCCTTATAATTTTTATTGACAATTTTTCATGCTGAATAGCTTCATGCAAACAATTCAATTATAGTTCACATTGGATTAAATATTTCTTGTAAAATAATTATTTTTGAATTTATTGATCTTTTATAACAAAATATTCAAAACGAAATGTGGCCAACGTACATATTTATTACAAATTTACAAGACGACCTACGATCAATGTGAACATTTTATATCCTTGCTTTCAACACCTTCAAAACAACACACATTCTCAGCAAATTTGAAACAAACTCTCTGCAACGTTGTACTAGAAAAAGTGTTTTCTCTCAAGAACAGGTCCTTTTAAATTTTTATATAGCAGTTGTTTTGTAATTAATTTATTACACATCGAGTATAAATTAAGAGTAAGCATGTTTTTAGTTTTTACAACAGTTGTTTGAAGATTAAAAAATATGCTTATTCTTTATTTTTTCTTGACATGGATTAAATTTATTATAAAACTGCTGGCTAAAATTTTACAGGGACCTGTTCTTAAGAAAAAAGACAAAAAACAGTAAGACAGTAATCAATTGTATAAAACTAAAAAGGAGTGAACATCACGATGATAAAAAGAAAGGGAATAAAAGGAAATGTTGGCTGAAAACATTGATTGGTCAAGATGAATGGAATTCTTGGTAGATCATTTATAACTGAAATAAGTAAAGAAATAATACCTAAAACTGAAATAAGTAGAAATATATCAATAAATGAAAGTAATAAAAAAGAATAACCAAAATATGGAAGACAAAGAAACATTCAAGTATAATATGAATACACAATTTTAAAGTAATCAAAAAACATTGTTTCAAAAACTTTAATAGAAAAATAAAAACATTTAAATATTCCATTCAACATACAATATCACAGTTTGTTCAGAGTTTATTTTCACATACAATTCTTTTAAACTTATGAAAACTCTAGCAATGTATTTGTTCTTTCCTTAATCAAATTCAGGTACTTTTAAATTAGCTCCATATACAGTTTGCATAATTGTTTGTGTATTCTTCACAATTGTTCCATAAGCTGCTTTCCAAGGTCTTCCCTTATTGATAAGCAATCTGAAACAAAACATGCAACTAAAGAACAAAGAATCTCTTTTCATTAATCATGATTCAAGCAAATTTAACAAAACATGGTGTAAAGAACATTGCAGATGAAACCAAAGGATTTTCCAAAAACAGTATTTTCACTTTCAAAATTTTTCTAATTTTCTTTTATTGTAATGGAATGAGTAAACAAAAATTATGTGATGATTCTAACCTCCTTTGTAATGTGTACATGAAACATAATTAATGTATCAATGAAAACACAGGAAATTGTTTAACAAAATTCAGGCCTTCGTAATGAAAATTTTTTATAATCTGATAGACTTTTGTCAAATATATAAATACAGAAATAAAATTAAGAAAAATATGACTCATGTATATCACAACAATATAAATATTATAATGTAAAATACAAATACACAATTCAGTAAAAAAGCATTCTGCCGAACTCCAAATGTCAGAACTGACACATTTACCCTCCTAGACATTCTAGTGACAGGGTTATTTGCGGTGTAGGTATTTGCATAGGTCACCATGGAAAAAGTAGCTTTATTTTTAGAGCGAATTGTGGAGACTAAAATTCAATTCTTTGAGTAACAGTGGGCAATCAATTCCACGTTTACCAACTTAATCACAAACAAGATATCATTGAAGTTATGAAGAGACGAAATAAGGGGCATGTTTAGGGTGGAAGATATGAGACGATAAACAAGATCAATGTAAGGGACCAAATGCCTAAACATGTTGCAGCAATTCTGAAGAACTTGTGCTGGACAGATTCAATTTTAGCAGAATAAATGTTAAATACAGAGATCAGATCACAGACGCAAATTTTAATAAATTACTCCATAATAAAATAAGACTATTGTTTTAATAACATTTAAGCATCACCTACCTATGTAAAAGGCTAAAAAGAATATCCACATCTTCCAGATGACGAGCTAGCACCAATCGCTGAATATAGTTAGTAAACATTACAACATCACAAGTCTGTGGATTCACTTCGGATGTCACCCATGCACGTACTAGCTTACGTGCTTGAGATAAGGTCATCATAGGCTGAAAAATATAAAAGTTTGATACACTGATATGAATAATCACACTCAGTAGTAAGTTATCGAACACCTAAAAACAAAACAATTACGTTTAACCATTGCAAAATTTCAGTTCAAAGCCACAGTTAAACCACTACAATAACTCACTTCATTTTATCTACTTATATATTAAACTTACACAATATTATACACAGACCAACTTTTTCATTAAAATTAAAAGAATTAGTTAAATTTACATATTGAAATATCCCTGTAATAAATCTGAATTTTTCAAGGAAGTAAGAATTCAAAAAATAAATTAAAAAGTAGTAGAGATAAAAAATACAAGAAATTAATCAAATCAAATAATACATCTATCCTAACAATCACTTCATTGAACTGCCATGATCTTGTGTTTTAGTGATAACCAAGCATTTAGATACAAGGAATGACAATTACGAGTAGTAAGGCAGTTAGTCATCGATAGATAAGATGACAAAGCAAAATAATAAAGGAAATGTACTTTAAATATTTTTGACAAGAGTTGGAAAATTAATTGCTACATAGTTATATTAAAACAATACAAGTTATGAAACAGCTGAGAAATACTCAAACACCAAAAATATCGCTAACAATGGTGAATCAAATTGTGAGCTCAGCATCCTCCAGTCACTGACTCAACCAGCCTCAGCGGTTCTTTTGACATTGAAATAAGTGCTCCTATTCATCACTGTGTTACGAAAATATAGGCTCTTTGACAGTTTCCAGCTGTGCTTGGTGAAAACACCATTCAGTAGAATTGATGTTTTTAAGTGTGCCCTGATTCTTGATGCATTTACTGAATTTAGTAGTGTTATCAAGGTTCTAGTTATTGTAATGCACTCTGGAAAATTTTAATATGATATCGTAGTCCAGGTAAAAAGAGGTTCACAAAATTTGAAGAGAAGCTTTTGATGGTGCAGAAGGGATGGCCCAGCCTTTTATGAAGTCTGAGGTTTGATTTGAATACATTAACTTTTGTCGAAGAACAGTAAAAACTGTATAAGATGTATGTGGAAGAAGCATAATCTGCACATGCTTTCTTCAGCTCAACAATCTCTTTCCCACCTTTTTACTTTACATAGTTAAATGATGAATAAAAGTATTAACAAATCGACAACAAAACATTTGGTGTTATGATAAGTCAACAATGCCACAGCAGCATGGTACCTTACAAATGACTCATACCATCAACCTTCGGGTTCACATTAGTGGACCTTGGCAATTAATTATTACCAAAAAAAGAAATCTGAGGAGGTGGGCAACAGAAATGCTCAGGGGCAGCTAAATACAGAAATCCACCATTGGAGGAGAAAATGATAACTTTGTAATAGAATAGTCTCATGGAAACACACACAAATAGAATTACTGGTCAGAGTTTAATACTCACTACTTCCACAGGTGGTGTTAAAATAGGTATTGGGTTTGAATCTTCACTAGTTATTTTGGGTTTTCCACCCACTGGACTACCAACATGATCACAACTGGCAGCAGTCCTTCCCACTTTACTGAAGCTCTTATTCTTTGAATCAGTTTCATGTTCCACCAACTTTCTTTCTTCAGACATTTTATCATTTACAGCAGATCTCTTTTTTTCCATTTTTACCTCACCAATTAAGCCAGTCACCCTTCCAACTGGAATATTTGAAACTTCTGCACACTGTGATATTTTTGTGGATTCTATGCGTTTACTAGGTGATTTGACATTGTTACTTTCTGTTCCTATTCTCTTCCCTCCATCAGATTCGATTCTTGCTTCAGAATTTTCTTCTTTTGTTTTCTTCAGTCCCAGGAATTTTGTAAGCACTGTAGACTTTGCTGACCCACTGGTAGCTGAATGCACTAATCGATTCATTTGTATGCCAACACCTCGCAGATCGCTGGGTGAAATCTTCAGTTGCCTCTCCAAAGCAACTGCTTCTCTGCATACAAACACAAAACATGTTACACAATTCACACAGAGCAAATAGAGCTGTATGTAACTATTACTAAAACAATTCAATAATTAATTATCTGAAAAATGTTGCGTAAAAAACATTACCCAATTTACAGATTTAAAAGCAGCGACAATACTATCATAGGCAAATTCAGGCATTAATATCATTTGATGATATTAAAAAGATTCCCAAAGCCTGAGTGATTATGTATAGACTACTTAACATATGAAGTTTCATAAACAGATGAAGAAAATGAAAGGCAACAGAAAGGAGAAGACAGGAAAAGGAAAAAAACTATGAGGAAAAGGAATTGGAGGGAGAAGAAAAAGGTTTAGGATAAAAACACACAGGAGGAGAAAAGGAGAAGACAGGAGGAAACAAGGGCAAAAAGGAGTTGAGTAAATGGACAAGAGGGAGGAAGGGGAGGAGGAGGACACAGTGAAGAAGGAGGAGAAAAACAAAAAAGATAAAAAGAAGAAGTAGTACGAAAAGAGGAAGTAGAAGGGAAAGAAGGAGCAGGAAAACGAGATGATAAAATAATGATAAACACAAGGACACAAAAAGGGATACGCAGGGCAAGAACAAGTACAAGGAGGGTAAGAAGAGGAAGGACAAGAAGACATACAACAAGGAGAAGAAAAGGAAGGAGGGCAAGAGGAAGAAAAATAAAGCAAGAGAAAGGGGATAAAAGACAAGAAGGAAAATGTCAAGAAGGAAAAAAAGGACTAGAGGAAGGACAAGGAGGACAAAAGAAAACACTGGAAAAAGATCTAAAGGATAAACACAAAGAAGAATTCATTTTGTAGAATAGTCATAATAAATTAAATCATGTAACTTAACAAGTAATAATTACTACTTTCACTTCTGAGATGGTAATAAAGATGAAATGAAACTTTTGCTGTCTCTATATTTAATAGACAGGTGCCAATAAAAAATTAAGTATTAGTTATTTTCAAAATACAATTTCTTGAATAAAATTTTAAAGAAGATCAGGCCTTATCATATTATTAAGAGAACTTTGTTTTCATGAAGCAAAACATTGAAAAAAAGATTTTAGAACCACTTGAGAAAATCTTATTTCCATATTTTTTATAATTTGTCACGATTTCACTCAAAATTATGTAAAAAATTACTCATTTTCAATTCAGTGAGATGTTGTAAACACATTCCCCAATTACATTTTCCCACATAGAAAGTTGGTATGTAAAGTTCCAATTCTATAACTTGTCATATTTAATATTTCTCAGTAACATATTCTGCGAATCATGTTCTGCGTTCACAGTACAGCGAATCATGTACTGCGTTCACAGTACAGCAGTCAAGTACAGTGTCTTCAAAGGATGTTGTTTCCAGAATAGGTACTTCAAGGTACTTAAACTTGAAGGTACTTACAGAGAGTATTGAGGGTATTTTCTGCTCATTTGATTACGAAACCAGAGCCAGAGAAATGTGTTCTGTGCATCAGCCATCTTTATTCTTTGTGTTTTGTCATTTTACCACATGTTTTAATGAATTTGATACACTGAGTATGCTAGTTTTATTAATTTTTTTTTCTGATTTGCATATTTTCAGTGTTTGTACATTGCTTGTAATTTTGTTTATATTTCAAAATTCTTTCCTATTAAATTGGTATATATTGTCTGTTAGTATTTTTAGAATGTGAATTAGTTTCCATTTCCTATTACAGTGTTCTGAAGAAGGAAATATGAAATCGACAAAGTCAGCATTTTCCAAAAACACATTTTCCCAGTTATGATATCTAAAATTTTTGGTCCCTTCAAAAACATTCCAATGAGATTTAACTGAAACTGTTTTGTACAGCAACTAAAGGTGAATAATCTTACTTTAATGTAATTTATTACCTGTAGATGATATCTGGATCATCTGTTGGAGTCCCAAGCGAAACAGAACGAGAGATGTTGTCACACGCTCCATGACCCATGAATTTTGCTGTTTCCACAGGGGCATCCTTTGCTCTTATCTTGAAAAAAAAATTACAAAATGGTTAACAAATGATTTACAGAGGAAAGAAAATTATGTACCTTTTTAGTTTCAATATGATTGACAACAACACCCTAGTCACATTTATTAAATTACAGGATTTAATGTTTTTTGTTTGTTCTCTTATACAATTTTAATTCTATGAAACTAAATACCAAAAAACTCATTTGTAATTATAAACCATAAAAAAATATATCAACTTGAACAAAAATTACATAACCAATTTCCAAAAAGAATGATAACCCTAATCAAGTCATTAGATAAATAACATAACTCAACAGATATGTGATTAATAGAGCCTGGATATTTTTATCCGGGAGTCACAGATATCACTCAATTGTGCTTCTGGAATTATTTTAGTTGATTTTCATTTAACCTTTTTTGGCCTATTTTAGCTTCTGATGCTTATTTTTGCCATTTTGTCTTATTTTGCCTTTTTCCTCATTATTTTGCTTTTCTTTTTTCCTCCTGGCACTAATCTCAATCAAGTCGGATGTGGTATACCTGCAAGACTGGGCAAAACAAAAGTGTTTTGTCTTTCTGTGGAAGCAGAGGTTGAGTTAAAAATTATTTTTGATTTCTTTCATTGATGCAGCAGGCTATCATTGCTCACAGAGAATCACATCCTACTTTTGAGTATGGCCTCGAATCGCTTTTGTGGACAGCTCTGAGTATGATATATCCTTCTCAAGATTGGCGATTACACAAATGCAAAGCCCAAAATTTATAATTCCATTTTCACTGAAGCCATTTCAAGATTAAAAACAGAGTCCTCAATATCATTTCAAAGAGACATCACGAATAAAACAGATACGTACCCATCAGTCTGCATGGTCATATACAATCAATATTACAAAGAAAAGATAGTTTCCATTATGAGCTAATGTAAAATTTAGAATTAGAATAAAACTGTGAATCATTTAAATTATTAATTTTTACAATAATTCCTTTTTAATGTGATTTTTCATTGTTTCATGCTTTTTTCACTCTCTTGTTATAGCTAGAATAAATGCCTTTTTCATGCATATTTTAGTACAAATAAATGCCTCTTTTTCTACCTATTTTAGGTAAAATAAATGCCAGAATATCCAGGCTTTAGTGATTAATGACAATATTTCATGGTGCATAATGGTAGAAAATAATACATAACAAACGGACTACTGTTACTAAGCACATTTTCATACATAAGAACATATGAAATGCATTAAAATAATTTAAATTGACAGAGAAACATCTAATAGCACATACTTTCATTGGTTATTATAAATCACTGTTCATGAGAAGACAATAAATTCCTTCATGCAGCTTATTAGCGAATTTCTTAAAAAAGCTTAAATTGATTATTTCATGAAAATCATTGATTTTTAACATTCTGCTTATCTAATTTGCATCTGCTACATTCTTCAACCAATGTCTGTAACTTTTTTTCTCTAGTGTCATAATCTAATAATACGTAAGTGACCACCAATTCTGTAAAAAGAAACCCAGCTTTATAGGTCAGGTGTTAAATGAGGAGTCACAAATAAAATTTTAAAAAAACAGCAAGAAACTCAAATTTTCATATCACAATTTCAAGAGATATGCACCTTAGTTTACAATTATTGTTTTTATGCTGTTCTCATATTGATCTCTATGTACGTCTTTGATTTTTAATTCTCCTTGGCGTTTTTCACATCCTGATTTGCAGGTATATCAACATCATTATCTTTCCTATTTATTTTGAACATTCCATTCTCATATCAACCTTCTGTAAGAAAATAGAGAATGCTGCACTTCATTGAGTAGTTGGGAAAAGGGCAAAACCAAGTTCTAAGACAACAACAACATTTAGAAGAAAGTACTCAAAAACCTACTTTTGTTTCAACATATCACTTATTAGGAGGAAGTGTTTTTGGAAACATGAGCCCAAGCTATCTCATGTCCAGTCAGTACCTCACAAAAAATCTAACAAATCTCGATAGAACCTTACATTCTTTACCCTTTGTTGCAACATACTCCCCAATTTGCAACACAGAACTCATAACTGCATAGTTTACGTGATGTACAATTACATAGTCCTACGTTTCACATTTAAATTTAATAATTATGGCAAACAAAATCAAATACTACCATGAGTTTCAGTGTGACCTGACGACTCCTGACACGAGCCTGCTTCATCCGTGACACCACCTCCTGAGCCAACTGCTGCACAAAAGCCTCTGCCTCCTTTTGTGTCGTAAAGCGAATGCCATAGTTCACTTCTGCAGAAACAGACTTCCGCTGGTGGCACACGTCCAAAGCACGCTGATCATCTCCCCGAGCATGTTGATGCAGAGTCTCACCAGTCTTATTGCCAAACTTCCTCTGCAGGGAGGCGAGGGAGAGTCTCTGGAGATCACGACAATCAGTGATTCCCTCTGCATGTAGCCGATACGCAAGAGAATGACCAACACCTGAAACATTTATTTATTTATACAGCATCCTTCCCTTTACATTATGTCACATACAAAGTTTATCATTTTACAAAGAATGGTGTAAAGAAAAAATAATAAAAACATATAAGTTCAAAAATTATTAGAACTAATGAGAGTAGTACACAATATCATTGTACAATTTAGATGAATGATTCTTCAAAATTAAATACAACTGAAGATTAACATTTCCTTAAAATTAGTATATTAGTAGTTTTTGGTGTATGTAATAAATTGTAAGTTGCAATGGTGTTGGCTTTTTTGGTAATTCTGGTTGTATCATAGTCATTGTATAAATATTTGCTCTAGAAAAAAGGCTGGAGCTTTATAGCATTGAGGACACCTGCATGGAAATATGAAGTCTATTTGCAACAAGAGTTGACAACAATCTACGTATTCAAAATTTAAAAACATCAGAAAAATGTCACCTTTGCTCAAGCGTTTTTAGATTCAATTTACTGAGAAAAGAGAAATAGTCATATGAAAGTGTTGGCTTGTACTACCGGAATTGGGAAACCAATAACCTCACATATCTCAGATATCTACATTATTTATATGTCTGTGAAGCAAATAGTTGGAATGGGCTGGCAGATTCACCATCAGTGATTGCAACTTATCCATACGCAGTAACTGGCAAAATACCTTCACAGGACATTCTGATATCTTTGGCACTGAAAAAGCAATGAAACACGCAGCAACTACTCCAAAAAATGCAGAGAATTCTAATGCTTTTTGACATCCTCCCTACCCACATTTTTATCATCAATGTTACTTTCAAAGGGGTTAGCCTTAATCATCAGATCAGTCTGGAAGTCTGATTTAGACTCTTAGTGTAGTGTGGCTAACTTCGTAGTGCTAAAACTACATGAAATAGAGTTTTACTCATTAGTTTTATTCAAGTAAAATTTACCAATTTTATAAAGCCAAAGATAAGTATTGTGCACAAAAAAGAATCAAGTCTAATTTTTATACAGTTAAATTGTATTCTATAATTCCTGGCAGAAGGGCATACATCTCTTCAACTCGCACACAAATCGGAAAATAATATTGTCAATTTACCCAGATGTCAATGATTAGGTACCCATGTATGCTAATAACTTTCCTCTTCCATATAATAAAAAAAAAGTATTTCAGATAATTGAAATGTCAGTTGTGTTATTGAATAGAGGCAAGTGATGAAACTGATGTAATTTTAATGAAGTGCAATTTTTAGTCCAATATAATAAGGTTTGCAAGTTGATGAAAAGAAGAGATCTAAGCTTTAAAACTCCTACCATTTCCCTTCCTCTCATCTTTTGTTTTCTACTTGACTTTTTATTACATAGTATTTAATAATTGATAATTTCCACGACCCTTTAATTTTATTATTTCATATTGTGAATCTTCTTATTAAAAGATTTAAATTGAAGTAATATTAATGAAATATTAATATTCTATGAGACATTCAAATTAAAAATTGTATAAAATCATAATGGTTCATTCAAAACATCACTCTAAAATTAAAGTCTTGCCAAATAATGAATCTTACTGACATTATTAAAGGAAGAACAGAACAGATTTAAATAAGGTCAATTAAATGTAACAAAGGATATAAGAAATATACATTATTGAGAGAGTAATTGGAACAATTAAGCTGCATCAAAATTAGAAGAATAATTGCATTCACTGACTACTTTGCTCTCAATATTATCTTTTCTTAAACAAAGTTATTGACAATACAGGATGAAGGATTCAGGGTCTTCCAGTTTCCTAATGATCTATTTGTTATTTTGTTCATTTGTTGTTGTTTTTTTTTCTCTTTTATATTTCATTAATTACAATGCTATTTACTCAGTTTTGAAAACAAAAGTTAAATGATCGTACAATTCTTTACATTCAATCTGTGTTTCAACTAATAAAAAGCCATACATTGACTTGCTTCAAATAAATGAGTTACCAGGTAAGTCTTCCACTTTTATGTTGTGCATGAACATTTCCACATCTGTTGGCAGAAGATGGAACTGTCCATTGGGTTTAGCTTTTTTTGTAGCCAAACGAGCTTGGAGCGGGTTGCTTCCAAAGCCTGCAGAGGCGGTACAACCAGTTGCTTCCTGGAAAAGACACAAATCAACTAATTAAACAAACTAGCGCTGCTAAAAACGGCATATATTTTCTCTCATGAATTGGTTTCCTATTCTCTCGAGTCAGAGAGTACTTTTCTTTTTCACCCCCCTTTCTTCCCAGATCCTACATATCGGCTGCTGAAAGTCCTACTAGAGACTCTCATTGGCAAAGAACACTTTGTGTGCCCACAAATCGTAGATTGCATAGATATATCTCAGTGCTGTATCTTCATGTATTTTCTAATGGTATCTCCCATGGCCTCATCTCAGTGCTTGTTTCATGGTTCTGGGTGTATGGGTTTAGTTCAATTACACCCACAGTTGCCTGTCAGGCCAAGCGAGTAATGGATATAAGAATGGTTAGATTTTTAAGCAATTCTAAAAATGCCAAAATGTTAGCAATGCTGATTGG